GGGAGGAGGTGCTGGGAGTCGGGGTGAGGGAGAAAATGTGAGAATTAAGGGTAAGGGAGGTGGGAGGAGTAGAGTAAAGGTGAGGGACAGGAAACAGGGATGGATGATGGTGGAATAAGGAGGAAAATAGGGAAGGAGAAAGGAATAAGAGACACAGGATGAGAAGGGTAGTGGAGTAAGGAGAAAAACAAGGAAAGAAGGAGGCAGTAGGGGGTGTGTCGGCTGTGACCAGGTTGTATGGCAGCTGATGATCTTTACAGGTATTTTCACAGCCTACCCTCACCCACCATAGAAACATTTTTGTGGTGTGGGTGCAACTCACTAGTCCTTGCCAGCCAGACTATTAGCAGTGGCCAAGACTAGGCTGTAATGTCTTGTTTCTCGTATTAGTTGTTGACATAATTCAGCGCATGTGGTGTTTGTTATCTGTTAGTCAGCGGGATTTTAAAGTGAAACTGTTATAGTCATTTTAGTTCTTGGTTGGATATTTTGAGTAGTGATATGAATTTAAAAAAAAAATAGAGGTACTGTGCTATAATTAGTTTACACCGCTGCTATATAATGCCATGACAAAAATGAGGAATCACCTGAAGATTAGACCTCTCTAGTTTATTTTACCTGACGGTACTTGAGGAGAGAGAAGATTCGGTTAGGTTATATTGTGTTAGGTTGGGTTACATTGTATTTGATTAGGTTGGGATTAGTGTTTAGATGGTTACGTGTAAGCTAAATAAGCTGGGGCTAATCTTAAGGTGACCTAATAAGAGTAATATATACACTGTCCAAATCAGCGAGTTGTATCTCTTGATTTGCGTTTGTTGATGGACTTCTGTAATTACTAACCATGTTGCACGCTTTAAGACATTAGTTGTTGATAGCCAGTACAGTAATGACGACAACAACACCTCACTGTTAGGTTCAGGGGTTGTAGGTGTTCACAGAAACTGGCGTGGGTGTAGCGTGGCCGGGTACACCAGCCCACAGTCCCCGGGCACAGTGACGCGTCACCCGCGAGGACTGAACGTCTCTTGACGCGCCGCCTCCATAGCTCAGTGGCTAGAGCGCTGGTCTAGTAAACCAGAGGCCAGGAGTTCGATCCTCCTTGGAGGCACACGTGTTGGCCAGTTGTTTTAGTGCAGCACGTTATTGGAGTGAGTGATGTGGTGTTGTAAACATTGATGAGGAAAAGGCTTTAAAGGGAACAGGCAATATTGCGTTAATTTGTTTGAAAGGGTTAAAGTATTACTATTATTATTATTACAGCAGTTATTGAATTAATACTGAATGAATATAAACAATTCAATCACTTTAATTATCACCAAACAGACATCGCTATTTAAGATAATAGCCAGAAACTAATTTGATTTTAGAGAGGAGCACTTTTACGGTGTCAGGGGATAGGTGTAGGGAGAGTTTATGGCGACGTTAAGAATGCCATTGTAGATAACAGTAACTTGTGGTGCGCCGTTGTTGTTCTAGAGGTTAATGAAATGACTTAACGAATTAGTTTTGTTTCGTTAGGAGTTAATGAACCCTGGCACATAACAACCATTTCCAAGGCCTCGTTAGAGTGTTAGTGGTTAGTTTTTTACAGTTTGTTGGTATGTGTGTCCCTCTTTGTCCCCTTTCCCATGCCTCTCCCTTCCCCCCCTCCCATACTTCTCTCCCTTTAACTCCTCCCATCTATCTCCCTTCGTCCCCTTCTATTAAGCTTCCTCATCACCTTTCCATTCCTCTCCCTTCTTACCCTCCCATTCCGCTCCCCCTTTCCCTTCACATTCCTTTCCATTTTCACCCTCCATTTTCCCACCCTTCATACCTTCTCGTTCTTCCTTCTCACCCTCCCATTCCCTCCCTTCTCCCCTTGCCATTATTCTCCCTTCTGACCCTCCCATTACTTTCCCTTCCCCCCTTCCACGTCTACCATCAGTACAGGAGGTCAGCATGGAGTGGTAATGAAGGTGTAACTTGGCCTCTGGCTGTGATCCCTTCAGTCTCAATGACCTCCACAGCCCCTCCACCTCCCACCCCTTCCCTCTCCCCTCTCATCCTCCTACTTCCCCTTCTAATCCTTCCATCTCCCCTCCCATCTTCTCCCTTCTTCCCTCTCACCGTCCTCCTTCCCTTCTACTGCTTTCCCTCCACTTCCACCTCTTCTCAACCTCCTCCCACCTTTCCCTCTCCCTTCCCACCCCTTCCCACTCCCTTCTCTCCTCTCACCCTCCTTCCCTCCCCTCCCTTCCCTCTCCCCCTTCTCCTTCCCTCCCACCCCTTCCTTCTCCCCCTTCTCTCCCACCTGCCTCCTCTTCCCTCCCTCCCCTGGGGGTGTTAGGTCAGCTTAGGTCACTCAGCCACATGTGTTGGGGAAACTAGATACATAACACTTGGCGTCGTTTAGTCAAGCCTAATGGCCTGCCTTTTCTGACTTGACTGATAGAGGTTTTGCGTGTGTGATCGATGTTTTTCTTGTCTATTTCTTGTTTATTTTTTGTTTGTTTGTTTGTGTTTGGTTTAAGTGAAGTATTTCCTCTTCTTCATTATCGATCCCCTTATCTCTCATCTTTCATCCTACTTTCTTATCATCCGTCCCTCTCCATCCATCTATCTAGTCATCTGTCTTTTCCTTATCAACCATCCATTTCTTTCCTCATCCATCTCTTCATCATTCGTCCCTTACATCATCCATCAATTATCATCCATCCCAGTCCCTCATCGTTCATCCCTTTCTATTCCTCATTCTTCTCTCTCGCCCTCATCATCCATCCCACTCCATCATCCATCAGTCACCCTCATCATCCGTCCCTCACCACACGACTCTGAGCCTGTATACTCCCCCCCCCCCCTTTCCCTCCCTCCCTCCCAGGTTAGGTCAGGGTCATAAGGGGTCAGGTTTATAATGCTGTAGGTGGTGATGGCCGCTCCCCGGGGTCACTCAGTTAATGACCAAGGGTTCGAATCCCCCCCCCCAGGATCGTATAAGTTGTGTTAGGTTATGTTATGTTAGGTTAAGTTAGGTTTAGGTTAGGTTATTCGGTTCACTTTCCGCCTTTCGTGGTTTGACTGGTAGATGTTTTGTTTCTTAAAGTACGTGAGGAATATTTTTTTTATCAAGTTCATCTTAAAAGAGAGAGAGAGAGAGAGAGAGAGAGAGAGAGAGTAAAATAATGAATGACTATTTCCTGTTTAATATATGATAAACAAGGGGGGGGGGGAAATGGCGGCTAAACTACTCTGACACTCTACCCTAACCAAATAAGTGAGTGAATCTAATTGGCACGTTTAAAAATACGTCACAGGGATATTGACATTGAAACAGTTTATTTAGTCAGAAAAATACAGATACAGAGTGAATATTAACATGGCCGGTGGAGAGCCTGAGATTTCTTGAGGGGGACAAAATGGCGTCGACTATACACCGAGTCTCTATCGTAACTAGTAAATAGACTTGACCTGGATAGACAAACCCCTGGTGGTGATGGGTATAAGTAGCAGAAGGGAGTCAGCGTCCTATACGAGGGTGCGAGGACGTGTACGGTTATTACACGACAGATAATGAGGCCCCCCATCTCCTTATACGTGTCATTCCTATTAGGCTCCATTTCTATTTGGTTCACTCTTTGTAGGTTCCACTCCTAAAGGGGTAGGGGGGGGTAGGGGAAGGGGGGTCAGCGCGGTGTCCAGTGTATAACTTAAACATGAACGTGACACTGAAGGTGGGGAGGGGGTACTCTTTCCCTCCCCCCCCTCCCCTCTGGCTAAACGCCTCACCATCTGTCTCTCTCTCTCTCTCTCTCTCTCTCTCTCTCTCTCCTCTTTGATGTCGTCCTGAGAGATTTGTGGCTGTATAATTCCTAAATTATTGCTGCAGTCCGTCTTTCTATCCATCCTTCCGTCCGTCTTTCTGTCCGTTCTTCCGTCCGCTTTTCATCCGTTCTTCCGTCCGTATTTCTGCCACAGCTAAGTTTGATTCATTCAAATTACATATAAACTTCGCAGCTTTTATATACGAGTACAGTAGGTGTCTGTGGATCACCTGACTACATGTTCATATTGTATCATTAATTTCAGATTTTTTCCTCTCCTTTATTTTATCTCCAGGAAGGACAATTTTTTTTTTATATAAACCTATGTTATTTTATTTTTTTTAATTCATTTTCTTTTCTTTTAGATTGTTTGTGTGTAGGTGAAGGATGACTGAATAGAAACACCAAGCTTAAGACGACCTACAGATGGCGTTAAGGTAATTATAATAGACAGTTAATGAAGGATTTATTAAAGTAATATGTAATTCTTAACTTCCCAGGTGGATATAATGTCCCTCTTGTGTTGCTTAATTAATTACTATAATAACATTTGACTAATACAGTATGTGTGTGTGAGGACCCATTATATATGCCTCACGAAAATATTTAAAAACTATCCGAAAATATGAACAAAATCCCACAAGTTCTCGCTCACTTAAGCTACGACACCATGATACAGTCTCACAATATTCCTACATTAATTTTTTTTTACCTGTTGATTAGATTATGTCGGGACGCATCCACCTGGTTCTACATTAATGTTTTCACTAATTGGAGATGTGAGGACCGGTGTAACTGGCTCCTTGTCCAGACCTCTCCACCTTTCTCTCCTCTTCTTCCTCCTCTTCCACACCTATCCCGTCTTCTTCTATTCTCATCTCTTTTTCCTTCTCCACGCCTCTCCCGTCTTCTCTTTCTATCCCTCCCTTCACTCTTCTCCCTTCCCCAACTCGTTCTTCTTCGCCTCTCTCTTCTCTCTTCCGTTTCTCCTCTTCCCTTCCTCCCCTCCCTTTCCCCCTTTCCTTCTCCCCCCCTCCCCTTACCTTCTCCCCTCCCCCTTCCTCCCAAGTAAGTCATCAACACGTGGTCCACACCTCCAGGGTCGAACGTAAACAAACACAGCTGGTAGTGTTGGCGGTAATGATGCCTGGGTTTACTGCTTTTGATGGTGGCCGGTTCTTGGGTCCTTCTGGCGGGTTATTGGGTCCTTCTGGCGGGTTCTTGGGTGTTCTTGGGTACTTCTGATGGGTTCTTAGGTGCTTCTGCTGGGTTCTTGGGTACATCTGACGGGTTCTTGGGTACTTCTGATGGGTTCTTAGGTACTTCTGATGGGTTCTTGGGTACTTCTGACGGGTTCTTGGGTGTTCTTGGTACTTCTGACGGGTTCTTAGGTGCTTCTGCTGGGTTCTGGCGGGTTCTTGGGTACTTCTGACGGGTTCTTGGGTGTTCTTGGGTCTTTTTGGCTGGTTCTTGGGTGTTCTTGGGTACTTCTGGCTGGTTCTTGGGTGTTCTTGGGTACTTCTGGCTGGTTCTTGGGTGTTCTTGGGTACTTCTGGCGGGTTCTTGGGTGTTCTTGGGTACTTCTGGCTGGTTCTTGGGTTCTTTGGCTCTTGGTTATTACGACGAAGTTCTCGGTATGTTTCGGTTCTACGTACTGATAAATCTGAGGTATTTTAGCTCCACCAATCATATTCTTGTTTAAGCTCCACCAATCATATTCTTGTTTAAGCTCCACCAATCATATACGTACTTGTTTAAGCTCCACCAATCATATACCTACTTGTTTAAGCTCCACCAATCATATTCTTGTTTAAGCTCCATCAATCATATTCTTGTTTAAGCTCCATCAATCATATTCTTGTTTAAGCTCCACCAATCATATTCTTGTTTAAGCTCCACCAATCATAACCCTGTTGAGTAATCATTGGCTGAAAGGTACTGTGTGTTCTCATATTAAAGCCTCAGTATAACAAACGTCACTATTGCACTTTAATTACTTTCTTTATAAATCTCAGTATATTTACCCTTAAAGGAAATAATTTTTATCAATAGATTTCGATGTTTTTCCTTTCAATCAGATTTAAATATATGTCTTATATGATTGAATAAATGAGTTAATAATAGAGACTAAATGTATCATATAGTGACATGTTGGATTATATAGGTGGAAACAGTATATTAAATGCACCTAATATATAAAAGAGCTGTAGGTATTTGGGGTTGACAGCTGGTTCTAGGGGTGACAGACTGACAGGTGGTGTGTGAGGGAGGCTGTTGGTGGTGTGTGAGGGAGGCTGTTGGTGGCGTGTGAGGGAGGCTGTTGGTGGTGTGTGGGGGAGGCTGTTGGTGTGTGAGGGAGGCTGGTAAGTGTGTGAGGGAGGCTGTTGGTGTGTGAGGGAGGCTGGTAATCAGAGGCTGGTAAGGTGTGTGAGGGGAGGCTGGTGGTGGTGGAGGAGGCTGGTAAGTGTGTGAGGGAGGCTGTTGGTGTGTGAGGGGAGGCTGTTGTGTGTGTTGGTGTGTGAGGGAGGCTGGTGTGTGGAGGGAGGCTGCTGGTGTGGGGTGAGGGAGGCTGGTGGTGTGTGGTGGGTGGTGTGTGGGAGGGAGGCTGGTGGTGTGTGAGGGAGACAGGTGGTGTGTGTGGGAGGCTGTTGGTGTGTGAGGGAGGCTGGGAGGCTGGTGGTGTGTGTGTGGAGGGGAGGCTGTGTGGTGTGTGTGGAGGCTGGTGGTGGTGTGGGGGCTGGTGTGTGGGGGAGGCTGTTGGTGTGTGAGGGAGGGCTGTTGGTGTGTGGAGGGGAGGAGGCTGTTGGTGTGTGGGGCTGGTGGTGTGTGAGGGAGGCTGGTGGTGGTGTGTGGAGGCTGGTGAGGGAGGCTGAGGGAGGCTGGTGTGTGGGGGGGAGGTTGTGTGTGGGAGGGAGCTGGAGCAGGTGTGGGGGAGGCTGCTGGTGTGTGAGGGAGGCTGTTGGTGTGTGTGTGAGGGAGGCTGGTGGTGGTGTGTGGGCTGTTGGTGTGTGAGGGAGGCTGGTGGTGTGTGAGGAGGTGTGGCAGGTGTGTGGGGGAGGCTACAGTGGTGGGGTGGCTGGTGTGTGAGGGAGGCTGTTGTGGTGTGAGGGAGGCTGTTGGTGTGGGGAGGCTGTTGGGAGCAGTTGGAGGCTGTGTGTGGGGAAGCTGGTGGTGTGTGAGGGAGGCTGTTGGTGTGTGGGGAGGCTGGTGTGTGTGTGGGGGGCTGGTGTGAGTGTGGTGGGGGAGGTGGTGTGGAGGGAGGCTGGGGGGAGGGAGGCTGGTGGATGGTGGTGTGTGTGAGGGAGGCTGGTGGTGTGTGGTGTGTGAGGGGGCTGTTGGTGGAGGGAGGCTGTTGGTGTAGGGGAGCGCTGTGTGTGGGGGCTGGTGGTGTGTGTGGGGAGGCTGGTGGTGTGTGAGTGGAGGTGGTAGGTGTCCTTCCCCTGTTGTCGTCTTTGTCTGATGTAATTATTAATGAATCAAGGTGAGACCAGCAGGACTAGGTGTTTGGACGATGGTGGTGCGGTGGTGCTGGTTGATGGCGTTTTGGTGATAGCGATGCTTGTTGGTGATGATGATGATGATAGTGATAATAAGGATGATAATGATTGTTGGTTCTCGGGAATGACGGGACTCGTTTATGGATAGTCCGTGGTTTGTTGGTAGAACGATGGATTCACCCTCGACTTGCCTCTCTTCGCCTCGTGTCCAGAGTTCTAGTAAGTGCAACGGTGGTCTGAGAAGGTGGTCCTGCAAGGGGTGAGCTAGATCGTGTGGATAGGCTGGGGGGGTGTTGGAGGAGGCGGGGTGTCGGGAGGGGCCGTGTTGGGGCTGGAGGGGCCAGGTCTTAGGGATCTGGGCCGGTTCTCTTGAGGTGGGTGATTGGGTGGAAGGCCCGGCCAGCCGGTCTCGTCCCTCACCTTTATCGATGCTGCCTGAGCCGGTGGTTGGGGAGGGATGGTTTTGGGTGGCTGGTTTGGGGGGTTGATTGTGGTGGTTGGGTGGGCGTAGATGGTTAATGATGGTGGTGGGTGGGGGATGGTGGTGGGTAGGTTAGTGAGTTGCTGGTAGTGGGTGGGTGGGGAGGATGAGGTTGGTGGTGGCGGGGTGTGATGATGATGATGATGATAATGATAGGTGGGTGGGTGGGTGATGGTTGGTGGGTGGCGTGGATGTGATGATGATGATGATGATAATGATAGTGGGTGGGTGGGTGGATGGTGGTCTGGTGGTTGATGATGATGATGATAGTGGGTGGGTGGGTGGATGGTGGCCTGGTGGGTTGATGATGATGATGTGGGTTGGTTGATGGTGGCAGCCCGTGGGTGGGTGGGTGGGTGGATTCGCCTGGTTGATGGTGGTGGCCTGGTGGGTTGATGATGATGATAGTGGGTGGATGGGTTGGTTTGATGGTGACAGTGGGTGGGTGGGTGGGGTTGATGGTGGTGGCCTGTGGCTGATGGTGGTGGCCTGCGGGTTGATGCGCATGGGTTGATGATGATGATAGTGGCGGCCTGGGTTGGATGATTGGTTGGGTTGTTGATGGTGGTGGCGGTTACGATGATGATGATGATAGTGGTTGGTTGATGGTGGCTTGGTGGGTTGATGATGATGATGATGATGATAGGGTGGGTGGGTGGGTGGGTGGGCGGGCCAGAGCGAGGGATGACGGTGCTCACCTGAGGAGGTAGGAGGTGGACGCCGCCCATGTTCAGGAGGACTGGTCTCACTACGCCACGGCCTCACGCGCTGTGTATAAGAGTTCAGAGCTTTAGCCTTAAATTGTATCCAAGGTGAACCAGTGAGAATCATAGTGGTACATTCTCATTAATATATTACTTATGTTATAACGAAATACAGCGCTTTGATAAATAAGGTCTTGAAACGTGTTGTCTAGATTTAAATAAGTATTTTTTTTTCCTTATTAAAATATGGATGGGGGAGGGGGGGGGATACAGGTGTCGATATGTGAGCCAATTGGTTTTATGTTTATCAGGTATCATATTGCAATCTGTGGTGTGTGATTGGTTAATTTTTTTTATGACGGTAACATCAGTTGCAGGTACAACGATTGTAACATTGCAGTCGTGTCAGAGTAATGTAATGATCTGTGAATAGTCTGTGTTCTGTTGCCGAATATTACATCATAAGAAAAACGAAGATATTTTAACCGCTTAAGTGAGTGTCAGGTTGTAACCCCTTGAGTACGATGAAGTCTAGTGAGTGTCAAGTCGTAACCCCTTGAGTACGGTGAAGTCTAGTGAGTGTCAAGTCGTAACCACTTGAGTACGATGAAGTCTAGTGAGTGTCAAGTCGTAACCCCTTGAGTACGATGAAGTCTAGTGAGTGTCAAGTCGTAGCCCCTTGAGTACGGTGAAGTCAAGTGAGTGTCAGGTCTTAACCCCTTGAGTACGGCGACACATCTCTAGGAAACAATAACAAAATATATGAAGGTATGGCGATATAGTCATTCACAAGTATAGCAATTATTAATCTAGAACACCTGTAGTAGTTTACCTGTACGGGAATATATGTTAATCGTCACAGTAGACAGGTGTGGCATAATACAGTACTTGTGAGAGCACCTGGGCTAGTTCTCAAGGTATCAGTGCCTCTAGTGAGCGTGTTGTGTATCCATTTACACACACACACACACACACACACACACACACACACACACACACACACACACACACACACACACACACACACACACACACACACACACACACACACACACACACACACACACAGCACATCTCTCCGTGGTGTTGTCCTGACTATACGCATGTTGTTTTGTCGCAGTGTGAAGGAAAGATTTTAGCATTTTCTTCCCGGTGCTGCGGTTAATCTCTTCATCATCATGTAACACCTGTGGTTAAGATTACCAGGGTTAAATTCATTGTGGTTAATTTAACTAGTCGATCTCTGGGGCGTCTCCACACTAGTACATATTTAGGTGTGGGTTCAAACACCTAAAGATTACCCACCCCCCCTCCAGCTTATTTCACCTGAATATTAACCTAACCTAACCTAAGCTAACCTAACCCAACCTAACCTAACCTAACCTAACCTAACCTAACCTAACCTAACCTAACCTAACCTAACCTAACCTAACCCAACCTAACCTAACCTAACTATGAATCCGGGAACTCGTCTATGTGGTCCACTTAAGGTACATGACACATTGATGAATACTCACCTGTTGGGCCAAATGGAACGAGCTGATGTGTTTCACTTGACCTGTTGCGTTAAAATGTAATGTATCAATGTTTACTAATCCTTCTCTGTGCCGTGGCTTAAATGAGTTAGTTAGATGCGTTCTTACGTCACCAATTACACCAGGTACGAGTTTTTAATTATCCATCTTTTGCGCCGTGGCTTAATTACCTGAGTTGGTTACGTGGATGTCTCGCAGTTCTAGTCATGAGAGAATGTAAAATAAGTTCTTCTTCTTCTTCTTCTTCTTCTTCTTCTTCTTCTTCTTCTTCTTCTTCTTCTTCTTCTTCTTCTTCTTCTTCTTCTTCTTCTTCTTCTTTGTGGTATATAATTTCAGTGAGTCAGTTAATGCGTTCTCACTTCTCCAAATTGAGTAAAAAAATATATATATATAACACAAGAAGCTTAGGTAATACGAGTCCTTGACTAGATAAACAGATTGGAGTAAGGGTGCAGTCCGTCACGACACAGCCGCTTGATGTCATGAACCAGTCCGCTACAATTTTATACAAACACGCACACGGTGTTTGGATGGACGTGGGTGGGGGGTGGTTGGGGGGAGGTGTGTGGGTGTGGGGGGTTAGGGGGAGGTGGGTGGGTATGGGTAAGTGGGAGGTGGGTGGGTAGGGGTAAGGGGGAGGTGTGTGGGTATCCTAGGTTGAGACATGCATGACGGACAGAAAGTTTTTGTGTGTAAAACGTGTTGTTGGTGGTGCTTCTGGGCAAATACAAAACTGACGTGTGTGTGTATGCGTGTGTGTGTGTGAGAGAGAGAGAGAGAGTGTGTGTGTGTGTGTGTGTGTGTGTGTGTGTGTGTGTGTGTGTGTGTGTTTAAAATTATACTTGCTGAGTTAGTATTTTAATGCATGCAAAATTGTAGAGTATCATAGTATTCGTTCAGTAATGGTCACGTATACTACAATTGTCCTTCTTGAAATGTGTACAGAATTATACTTGTTAAATTAGTACTTTAATATTCGTACTGCAACTTATCCTCATTACTCTATCTATAAAACCGTAATAAATGTGATACATACATTACTATTCATAGTACTTTGTTAGTATTGATATATGTTAAAAGCTGTACTGGTGGGTGTGTACCTTAGTTAATGATCAAACTACGATGCTAAATCATGTAGATACAAAAGTACAGAAGGAAAGATTATTTATCCGTATGTATTTTGATGTTGAGGAGGAAGGGGAAGAAGTGTTAGTGTTAGGGTATTTAATCCTTATTTGTAATAAGCTGGGGTGCCTAATCAGGTGTAATAAGCCGGGGTGCCTAATCATCAGGTGTAATAAGCCGGGGTGCCTAATCAGGTGTAATAAGCCGGGGTGCCTAATCATCAGGTATACTAAGCCGGGGTGCCTAATCAACAGGTAATGTTATTCCTCTAATAGATCATTACAGGTGGTAGAGTAACATGTTGTTTGGCCCTGAACTAAGGTTTGGGTTAATGTTATGAGGAAGGTGTTGACAGGTGAGAACAGTTCCTCTTGTTCCGTGCTGATTGGAGGCGACCAAGCGTGGAGGAGGCCTGTGTTGGGGGTGGAGGGTTGGTGGGGGGAGGATTGGTGGTGGAGCTTGGTGTGTGTGTGCGTGTGGGGTGGAAGTGTGAGAGTATGTTGGGGGAGGAATAGGCTGGTGTGTTTGAGGTATAAAGGAGTGTGTGTGTACGTAGCGTATACATATTATAAGTCATGTGTACATATGTGCGGTGTTCTTGTACTCATGATTGTCTTGGTGTGCACTTGTGTGTGTTACCTCAGAAATTGTATGTACATAAATCTATTGCCTTAGAAGTCATCTGTACAAATGTGCGTTGTTTTAGAGGTCAGGTGTTCATGTGTACGTTTCGCTTCATCAGTCGGGGTGTCAGTATGTAAACACCTGAAACTATACGTCACAAATTCTTAAAAGATCGTAAGTTAGATTCTGTCTCACTTGATGAAAAATACCCTCCATGCTGCTCTGAGACTCTCCCATATCTAGACCCGTTTTAGTAACTCTTCGTATTAAGTGAGGAAAAATAGCGTAAGAATCACTGAGAATTACCGATCCAGATGGGCAGTGTTTGGATTGGCATGACGAGCGGCATGAATAAGAGTGTTAAGTTGTATGATGGGTGGCATGAAATACTGTTAGCCTGCATAATGGTCGGTATGAATAATATGAGTGACATGATGGGCGACGTAGCGGGCGGCATGATGGGCGTGCAGCACGGTGGGCGTGCCGGCACGTTGACCAGGTGCGGACCCTGAGCGGTGGTGTAAGGTGGTCCAGGCAGGAAAGCTGAAAGACGTAACCCTCATGTACCCATCAGGTCGAGAATATTGACTTAGTCCCCAGATCTCTCTCTCTCTCTCTCTCTCTCTTAGGTGTGTGGTCAAATAGGCCCCAGTCCTAATGGCCCCTAACTTAACCTAACCTAACATAAACCCCAGGGACTCGATTGCAACTCTTACTGGGCTACATTTCCAATGGGGCCCAACCTGACCTAACATTACCTTAAGGATTAGGGGCAGGTCTCAATGGGCCCCAGTCCTAATAGACCCCAACCGAACCTTACATTACCTTAAGGATTAGGGGCAAGTCTTACTGGGCCCCAGTCCAAATAGACCCCAAACTTAGCCTAACCTAACCTAACTTTACCTCTTGGATTGGGGGCAGGTCCTATGTGTCCCAGTCCTAAAGGGTTCAAATCCAATTGGACCCAAATTTTAATGATCCCAAGTCGTAAAGTTTGGTTAAGTTAGGATGAGGTTCAGAAGGATCCGGGTCCTATTGTACTTATTAGAATATTATAACCGGTATGGAAGTCCTATATCTTCATGGGTTTGGGTCATAGGTAGTAAAATATATGTGTGTGTGTGTGTGTGTGTTTGTTTTACCAAGGATTGTAAATTCATTCAGTTTGTGATCAGAGTGTATTTATGCCTCCTGTAAAGGTTACGTAACACATTCGGTTGCTGATCATAATGTATTTTTCATGCAAAACAAAACAGCGAGGGAACACAACCATCACCTTGCGTTACGTCGTTCATCCCCTCAAGAACGCCTCCTTATCCACGAATATTCACAGTCTTCTAAGTTTCCCATAATGTTACTGTCACCGGGATATGTAACGTTATAGGAGCAGTGAACGATATGCGTTGGGAGGCGAACGACGGCAGAGGACCAGTGTGTGAGGCGTGAATATGGAAAATTAGTCGCGTTGAGCTGTCGATGGACCCAAGATGGCTGGCAAGCTGGCTGGCTGGCGGGGCAGGGTGTTCTCCATCACCACCACCACCACCACCACCTCGACACACCACAACACTGGCTGGCACAAGTCTTCTACTGTTTGTACTCACGTTACTTATGACCATTGTAGATGAAGGTTTCAACCCTATACATATTACCATCTCCTTCTATAACACTACTCAGAACTGAAGCACTGGAGTTTAGTGGCTTTATAATATACGAGCCACATTGAGTTCTTGTATAGGTATAGGTCATCGTAAGCTGCCCAGTTATTGTCCAGCTGTCAATATGTATAAAAAAGGGACCACCTACCCAAGTCAGCTTTTCGGATTCTGATTCGCTGCACGTC